TCGCCAATCTGGGCCTCCTTCACGTCCTTCATCCCCGCAATGATGTAACCCACCTGGCCTGCAAAGCTAGAGAACGGCCATGTTGGTATTAGCATGAGATGCTAACGCGACGTTTGGATAAAACCTTTTATTATGTGGGCCAAAATTGTCGATCAAAAGTGACTGAGGTCCAAAAATACAACTTAAGAAATTTTTGAAAACTGAAGAAATACTAAAACAACAAAACAAACTTATACTTAATTAGTTAAAAGAATACAGCAGAGATTTGTAGGAAATGGTGGTGCAGATTATTGTAAATCAAAACGCAGGTTAAGATTTTGCATGTTTGTCTCGTTAGAAGAAAAATCTCCAATAAATATATGTTTTGAAGGTTCGACAGTTTTCCACTGTTCTTGACCTGGATTTTTATCTTCCAGGCTGTAAAAAGTTTGACAGGCAAAGAAGAAAATGAAAACTAAAGACCAGCAGGTAACGATACACACCGTCCGCTTACATTTTCTGTGTAGCTTGCTCCTCCGGCCGCAGCAGGCCCAGCTCGTTGACTTCGTAGGTTTTACTGAGATGCGCCGACACGATCTTGTCGCCCTTCTTCACCCGCCCTCCGATCACGGCGATGTTGGCCACCACTCCTCTGTAGTGGTCGAAATTGGAGTCAAACACCAGAGCTTTGAACGGGTCGTCGACGCTCCCTCCAGGACTGGGGGGAAAATAAGGAGAGCCTGAGCAAAACGAGACAAAACGAGACTTCACACGAGAGACGGAGAGAACTAACTCGCCGATCTTACTGCGGGATCCTTTCGACGACCGCCTGAAGAACCGCCTCCACGTTTGTTCCCAGCTTGGCTGAAATCTGACACACAGGAGGAGACGTTTGCGAGGCGCGCACGGTGAAATGTACGGGGAAACGGTTAGCATGTTCCCGCCATCTCTTACTCTGATGCACTCCTCACGTGGGATATCGAACACCTTCTCGATCTGCGACTCCACTCGCTCCGGGTCGGCGTTTTTCAAATCAATCTGAGGAGACAGAACAAAGTCACCTTTCCTTGTACAGGTAACTCTCAGTGGGAATGTCTGAAAGTACCTTGTTAATCACAGGTATGATAGCCAGCTGGGCTTCGAAGGCCAGGTAGAAGTTGGCGACGGTTTGCGCCTGAATGCCCTTTAAGAGACCACAACAGATGAGAGACCTCAAATCACGCAGAAAAAATAAATCCTCGGAAAGTCAATAAATATATATTTATTACTTGATTGGCATCGATAATCAACAGGACGCCTTGGCAAGCGGAAAGTGAACGGGACACTTCGTAGCTGAAGTCGACATGGCCCTGGAGGGAAAGCAAACCTGCATTCAAAACTAATTCATAACACAAGACAGGGTTTCCCCCAATGTATTATAAGCCTGGCGGGCCATCAGGCTGTACTTGTGCCCCACCAGGCTAAACACTGCTTATTTAAGTCTTTTTCAAATGTTTGCATTTTTTAAGACTTTATGGTTGGTATTCAGGTGTTAAACTTCCAATCTTTCAATAACACATGATTACCAAGTGATATTTTCAAATTTCCTGTCAACTTTAAACATTTTTAACTCAAAAACACGACGGGCCGCTGGATGAATGACTGCCACCCAACAACCGAGCTTAGCAAGTTTTCTGGGGGAAACCTTGCAAGATATCTTTCTTATTTAGTCACATTACAAAAAACTTTTGGTGCTTGGGTTGGAAACATATTTTGAACTGTGAAGAAGTGGGACTCTACCGGCGTGTCAATGAGGTTCAGGAGATACTCCTGTCCGTCGTGGCTGTAGAACAACGAGGCCGTCTGGGCCTTCACGGTGATCCCTCGCTCCCGCTCCACTTGAAGTTTGTCCAGAACCTGCTTGTTCTTCTCCGTCTTTGCGATGGCGCCTGTTTCCCAACAGTATCAACATTAAGAGACAATTCCAGCACAACAGGCTTACGTCACATTTCTAAAGACGCCAACAAAGTGGCAAAGCGGACAGTGACGATAATGATCTATAAACAAAACAGGACCAAGAACAGAGCCCTGGGGCACGCCAGATGTGAGGGCAAATGTCTCAAACTGAAAAGATTTGGTCTGATTTGGAGAAATCGAACTGAGTTTTACACAGAAATGTAATATTCAGCTAAACAAAGGTCCACATTCCAGGTGTTTGATTCTGTTTTACAGAGGTGTGAGACTCTGTGAAGCTTTCTACCCGTCATTTCCAGCAGCCTGTCAGCCAAAGTGCTTTTCCCATGGTCGATATGGGCAATGATGCAGAAATTCCTGATTTTGTCCACAGGGAACTTGGACAGGTCGACAGCATCCTTAGGAACAACAAAGAGCAACTAACTATATTAACTGTAAAGGAAACGTACTAAATATTTCATATTTACTAACAGTAATCCATGCATGGTTGCCTTAACTGACTCTGAGGTGGGTTTGTTACCTTGGCTGGCTGTGTGCTTAAGCTCCTGAAGCTGCTGGATAATACAGGCAGACTTTTCACCAAGCGGTGTCTCAGCACCCTGTAGCAAATGTTGTAGCTCGGTATTTTCCTCCTACACACTTTAAACGGTAAAACCCGTCCTAGCAGTGAAATGTCGCAGAGCTGTTTGACAAGAAAATACGTCATATTTTCTAGAAACCTCACAGCATTATTATTATTGTTATTATTATTATCAGGGCAGGAGAAATGCTAACAAGCTCCCCAAAGGCTACCTGCGCAGCATTAGCAAGGTTAGCAACATGCTAACATAACAGAAACAGCTAAGTGAGACCTTAGTGAACAGTCTGCTTCAAATAAATAACACCCATAACAATACAGCTACGCTATAAACAACAGTAGTCCTTGCATGAGCTTTCAGGGTGCTGACATTTTGGGTTACAGGTCAGCTGCAAAGAATTATGGGAAATGTATTTCTTTCGAACCGGAACTTGGGAAGAATGTTAATTTGAACCACTGGAAATGAAAGACCTAGTTTTTCAAAAATGTTGAAAGGCAAACACAATGCCAGACAAATTTATTATCGATAAAGAAATTAGCAACATTTTGAGGGAAAACCGCTTCATTCAGCTGTATGATTGTTTTTTATTTCACTCGACGCTCTCTCGACACCACTGTCCTTTTTGTGTAGAAGTTATATTGTGTTTCTTTTCTAAATGAAAACTATAATTTAGTTTCTCGTTTATGTGTTTATTTTGGCGAAAAGCAGGGAAATGAATTAACTGTATCACCTGGAAATGACAACGCCTCATTTTGTGCCCTAAACAATTGGGAGCCTGTTTGTAGTTGCACGACGCATTTGTTAGCTTCCAACACGTCTGACAGCCGTTAGTCCCGCCCACTCAGCCTGTCTGATGTGGGATAAAAATTGACACTAGTTGCTATGACAACGATGCTGCCTTGAATAGATTATTGCTTTTCTTCTTTGAGCAAAAAATAATAAGCATCTATTAGCCCTAGATGCGGCTTGTCATGTTTTTTATGTGTTTTTTTTCTTTTTGTTTTTTTTTTACAATTATAATCTAGGTTATAAAGAATGCATATTTATCTTTGTCAGATAATAGTGCAACCCTCTTGAAAGCATTTTATTTATTTATTTATTTTCTCTTTGCCCCACACATAAAATGATGCTTGGAAATGTTTCTGGACAAGATCTGCTAGCAAATGATAAACCAGACCAAAACAAACAAGTTCAGAATCACAATATAAACAGCATCTAAAAATAATGAGACAAAGGGAAACCAGGAAGTTAATTGGTCTCAAAACTCTTTATTCATATTTGTGGCTAAAAATATTTTTAACATCAACACGTGGAAATCTCAGCCATTTCTGCTCGACCTACTCGGTGTAAAGCTGGAGTTTTTATTTTATTTTATTGATTAATTGATTAATAATTGGATATGCATAATAGCAGTTTTGTTTTTTTTTTTTTTTTTTTTTTTTTTTTTTTACAGAATTTGAACCAGGTGAATTGAAAACTGCTGCTGGAGAACTTCTGAGTAAAACTAATTTACAGAAAAATATTTTTTTTAATCTTAAATTCAAAATGTATGTATGTTTGTTTTTTTGGTAGTTTTGGCTTCGTTAGTGTGTTGAAGCCACACTAATGTGTGGCAAATGGCTGTTTTTTGAGTTAATGATTAATCATTTCCTAAATTAGTTGCTGATTATTTGAATAATCTAGCCATCACGATTAATCGCTTCAGTCCTAAGCTGTGTGGATTTAGCACAAAAAGTCCATACAAAATAAAAAAAATAATAAAATTAGTTATTGTAGTGTAACAAAATGTTGAAAAGCTTAAGGGGAGTGAATCGTTTAGCAATAAGTGTTTTAAGATGAACCAAAAATATATTAGGGTGGTCAAAATGAAAGTTTCCACCAGAATGCTCTTTAAACGTATCAAAAAGACTCTTTTCGCTCGAATGCCCCGATCCGACGTTTCCTAAAACCCCTGCAAGGCCGTCAATTATGTGGATTTTTGATGCGTGTCTGTAAGCAGCCGCGCAGCGCTGTGCGACCGGCGAGATACTTCCCGTCCATCAGCAGCGATTTCTGTCACGGTACAATCTCTGGGCAGACAAGCGGGGTCAGCCGTGGACGGAGGAGGAGGCACGGCTCGGAAAGGAGGTCAGGAAACGAGCCCCGTATCACAGCTCAGTGCCACCGGGGCTTTCTGGCTAAATAATAATGGTTGTTGGCAGCATGGCAGCGCTGGTTGGCAGGATCGACTCCTGCAGAGGAACAGAGGAGCTGCTATTCCAGAGAGACAACGGGAAAACGCTGCTACTAAAAGGACAAAATAAATAGGTTAGTTGAATAGTCAAAACAAACAAAAAAAAATTTATTTATTCACTTACTGTACTTTTTACCATTTTATAATGATATTATTGAACCAGAGTCTAAGCTACAGCGGCTGTTTGCCTCTGTGTGGTTGTTGCAGTGCGAACGGCCAGCGTCAGCGAAAGCATCACAAAAATAGACGCCAAGAGCTGGAAGAATGTGTTTTATTAAAAACAACTGTGCACTAAATCAGTCCTCCATCTTCTGAACAATCATCTCTACCTGGAATGTTTGAAGTTTCTGCCTGGATGCCAGAGAAAAGGTCTTGGAATGTGAAATTAATCTGCATGCAAAGTCTGTTCAAAATAAGTAAATGAATAGGGTGGAATTAAATATGGTAAGCTGTAAAGTAAAAACATAGCACTTTATGAGAATATATATGAAGCTGAACATGATTTATAAATATATGCACAATGACAGACAAAAATCATCAACCAAATGTTTTATATCATACATTTCTGTAATTCAGGGAGAATAAATTTATCCTTAAAAAACTTAATGGACACGGACATGGATTTAACTTAATATTCAGATTTTTTTTCTCGTGCCAGATGTTTGTGAAGCAGAACAACTGGTAGCTCCTGTTCTGTTTTGATGCTAATGGAAATAAATTACATGACCGCCACATGTACCTTCTGATTTTCCTCTAAAGCTTGACGGCGTCCTTTCACTGCAGGCCACAAACACAAACGATTAGCTGGATGTGAAAGAAAAAACAAGAGATATCTGACCCTTTTTTTTTTAACTGGAGTTAAAAATCGGTTCTATATGTCTGGATATTTGTGGTGACTCTCTCAGATTTCAAAGGATTTAATGATTCGTCTTTGGCGACGTTGAAATGTTTGGCGACGTTCCCTTGATTCTGATCGATATCCATTGACCGTCTCTCCCACCGCAACAAATCTCAGCATTGCTTATGGAGAACACAACTGTTGCATTTCAAAAGTTAACATAAAAACAACACACACACACTTCTTTTACATTTCTGTTCCTTCGCCATCTATTTCTTTTCTACCTCCAGTTCCTCCTTTTGTCTCTTTTATGCAAATTGTTTTCCTTTACTTAATGCAAAAGCAATCAGTCATCTGAAATCCACAAAAACCTTTAGCTTTTTTTTTTTTTTTTTTACTTTTTGTCAGTGACTGACACCGGATTAAAAAACATACACAACCTTACAGTGTAAAAGTCACTGTAAGGTTGTAGCTGGCCAGCAGGGGGCGACTCGTCTAACTGTAAACAGAAACAAACATCCGCTCTCATCTTTTACACTTTTTTTCCAAGGAGTTTTTCCATCTCACCATTTTAATGAAATTTGTATCACTTACACTAAAAAGAGACAGTAATGTAGATGAATTTATGATTTTGATGATATTGTGTCTAAATTGGGTATGAAAGACATTCTGGCCATCCTTTTTTTTTTTTTTTTTTTACAAATTCATACACTTTTTTTAAACTTAGCCACCATCTTCCATTTTGTATCGGTGTTCCATCGGTTTGCTTCACTCAGTTTTTAAGTTATTCAAGAAATGAAGATTAATAATAACAAAAAACACTTCAAAATTAGAATTTATCTGTACATTTTTCTGAATATGTCAAATTTCATCCTAAATTTATTGATTTTATTCTGTTCTTTGTTTTGGTTGTACAACTTCGAGTAATCTCCCACTGGGATTTTTTTTCCTTTTTTTTGCTGACAATTAATTTAAAACTGGAACAAAATCTCCTCAACGGAGGACAGAACTGTTGGAAAATTGGTATAAAACAGCTTTAAAAAAAAGTCAAGAGCAAAACCAGCAAAGAACATTAATACACAAAATAATTAAGACGTAAAATGACCCCAAACAAAAACAACTAATAAAAAAAGAAAAGATAAACATTAAAACAAAGTGGTTGCAGAGAAATAATGCACTCAGACATTTAAAACTGCAGTATAAAAGTGGAGTAAAATGCTGTTGTCTAACATGGGATGGATCCTATCGACCGTACATCAACTCGTAGTTGCCATAGGAGACCCACATAAATATCCATCACTATGGAGATTTCTTTAAGTTATTTTGGTTAGATCATGGGTCATTTTTTTTTTTTTTTTTTTACCAGAGTCAACAGGCTCCAACTGGGATAAATGCAATCATAGGCGATGGGGTGTGACATAAACTCTGGAGAAAAAAAACAATAACAGCAAAACATATGAGAGATTTTATGATTGTTTAGCTGTATAATTTAACTTACCAAGAAAAATCAACTCCTCTGTTAGTTCCTGTGTCACAACTACACAATCACCATTTTATTCTCTTTTCTACTTTTATCAGACACTGTTTTCTGCCCCTGCATTAATCCTCTCGTAACTGGAAGCATAAACATGCCACCTGGATTTATTTTGATTTTTCTGTTGCAGAATGATCAAAACAAAGTGCAATGAGTGACTGTTTCTTCCACTTTTTTTTTTAAGTGACTTCAATTTTTAGTGTATGGAAGCAAAAAATAATTTATGAGGGTTTTTTTTTGGCTCAGTCAGAATTTGAAGTGCAAAACATAAAATACATCTCATCTCTTGTAATGGCAATGTAACAGGAGGGTTAAACAATAGCATATGGTGACATAATTATAGAGATAAATTGGCAGAAAGCACTCAAATCATGTATGACTTAATGCAATTGCATATTGTCTAAAAACTTTGTTTTAAACAATTTTCGCATTTATTTTAGTTCTGATTCCAGTCCGACCTCCAGCTGATAGACATTATTAACCACATCTCCCTACTGTCAACCATTTTATAGATTATTGAAGATTACTGTGAATTCTAGGTTGTCATAGCAGTTCCAAAATATTCACCAGTCATGGATGAATACAAAGTACAGCATGGTCGATACAAAGCATCTCGTGGCACATGACACCATTTCATATTCAGAAAAGCTCAGAATCAGAAACATCAAAGTACAAAATTATGAAATATGCTGAAAACAAGCAGGCTGGAAATGATTTGTTGAAATGGAAGAAGGAAGGGATGTAAAAGAAATGCATGTGGATGAAATGAAACCACGCGCTGACATAAAGCCATTCCCTTTAACATGATCACAGCTAAATGCTAACGCTGATGCTAATGCTAAACAGTCAGCCAAGACGGCGTTTCCTGGTGTTCATACTTTCACTTCGTATTTTGAATTTCATACCAGAGTCCCCCTGATTTCGCTTGGTTTTTCTACGGAAATACTGCACTGAAATCAAACCCGACACGTAAACGCTGGAAAAATACAGACATTGTTTCTGACACACGAGTGATTTCTTTTTTTAACCTTTTCTCTTTTTTTTTTTTTTAGTTAAGATTACTTCAATTGTCTTCTGTCCCAGATTATAATATAAAACAGGAACAGTATTATACAGATGTGAGTTATCTACTTAAAAAAAAAATAATGTCGTTCAAATAATTATGAACGAAACCAAAAAAGTTATTTTCAGTTCTTTCCATTCAAAAATACAAAACAATCCTGTGATTTTACCTCTTATAGGTGAACACATTTAATATATTGGTAAATAAAATGCATGTGTGAATATCCAGGGTCTTTTCTCCATTTGGTTTGTATGTACAGTGGCCATGTGAAGGTTTCCGTAGACATGACTTTTAAGGAAATATGCACTTGATTCAAAGTAACCACACGATGTATCACAATGAAACCTTAAATATATAAACATACGTACACATTTACAAAAGCCGGGCTTCTCCAAAAGTGCTGCAGAAGGTGTAGAAAACGGGAGGAGAAAGAGGATCACGTTGCAATCCAGGGCTGCAAAAAGTATGTGTACCGCAGTTGCTGGAGGTATTTGGTTCGTCTCGTCCACGGGTCGGAACCCGTCCGAAGCCGGGTTCTAGTTGGACGGGACCATATCCTTTATAACCGGTTCTCTGTTTAGGTAGGTGGCCCAGTAGACCAGGTTGAAGCCGCCGAAGAGAACTGGGAACATAATCCGCGACAGCCTGTCAATCCTGCTGACGCTGTTGAACGTCTTCTTGGCTTCCGGGGCCTTGCCGTCCGCTTTGGCCTTGCCGGGATCCACAGCGCCGCCTTTGGCGATGGTCGGGAGCGTGCCGGAGTCCTTGCCGACGTTCGGCGCGTAGTTGGCTACCGCTACGGCGTAGGCGTTATTCTTCTTCATCACAGAAGCCCTCTCTTTCTTCTGTTAACAGACAGAGGGGGATAAGTTTCACGAAGCCTAGCTTTTCATCGCCCGTCCACGGATTTTCAATGAGTGCAAACTGAGTGCCTCGGTGGCTGGGACGCATTTTGTAAGGGACGAGATCGGTCAACGGCGTATTTTGTATGAATGCTCATTTTCATATTTTTCAAAAATGGCAAAGAAAAAAGGGAGCTTCAGCAGCTATAGACAAAAACAACTTGATACTGACACCTAATCTTCTGTTTATTTTTACTACAAGAAGAGGAGAACTTTGGTTCCTCAACATGTCAAGCCCCTTGATATGCAGTTACAGCACTTACAGAGGAAAAAAAAGTGTTACAAAGTAATTTTCATTTTTGCTATTTTGATATATTTAAGTATTTCAGATGCTAAAACTCATTTAAATATATGAAAAGGATTTAACATTTAATACAAAATGTAAGTTTTAGAGCTTCAGAGCTAACTACAAACATACATTAATCAGAAACAACCAATCAGAGCCAGGAAAAGGGTGACAGCACTGTCAATTACACTTGTCTACCTGCTGCTCACACTCCCCCTTTCTTGCCGAGAGAAATGCTAATGCTACTGCTAATGTTAATGCTAGTTAGCATGACCACCACTGATTACAGTGGATAAGTAATGTTCCTGTAACAATGAGTTGTTTCTCTGCACGAGTTGATTGACAGAACAAAGACCGTCCTCCTACTGTTTTAACAAATATGTAAAAAGCATTTTAATACAGCAGCTTTAATGACATGTAGCTGCTTTTTGTCTTTCCCATGTTACTTCCAATTGAAATTAAAATTTGGTTGATGATCAGAAACAGTTAAGTGTGACAAAAAGAAGGAAACACAAGAAATTAGTAAGGGGGAAACGTAGTTGGCTCTACGGTCCAATCCCCACAAAAACAGAAAATGAACAGAACATACTTTACAGTCATATTGTCCTAATTCACTGAAGTGGAACCAATGTGCCAAATTGAATAAAAACAAACAAACAAACAAACAAAAAACAAACCCAGAGAATTAAATGAGAAATTGCCATTATTCCCCTTCCTCTCCAGGAAATGCCTCTGGAGCCACAATCTGCCGCGGTGCAGCCCTAATGAATTCTCTTTGAAAATGGAGACTGTCGGAACACATGGTTTCTTCTTCATTACCTTCTCACTCACGACACTCTTCCCATCCCAGGCCCAGCCGCGCTTTGTGAAGTAATTGACAGTGGCGAACTCGATCAGAGCGGAGAACACGAAGGCGTAGCAGACGGCGATGAACCAGTCCATGGCGGTGGCGTAGGCCACCTTGGGCAGGGAGTTCCTCGCGCTGATGCTCAGAGTGGTCATGGTGAGGACCGTGGTCACGCCTGGAACAAGACAACAGAATGTTTCGGGATCCACCTGTGATCGTTTTTATGGCTCTCTGCAGGTTCTTTACAGTGTAAATGTTCGCCATCTTTAGACACGTTGTAAGTTATTGTTTAAATCCAGAAAGTTTCACGCATGTGCCCAACGCTGGAGAGACAATTCTTTTACTTGCCATCCATAGCCGTGGTAGAACAAAATGTTAATAAAATGAAACATGGAGACGTCGGTATTACTAAGTTAGTGCAAAGGGGAAATGGCGCAGAAAACCCATTGGAGAATAACTCAAAACCATTCCTATTCTTCTATTTTCTCGCACTCTGTGGACTACTCCACACAGAGACCTGTTGCCACAGCAACAGACTGACAACAGCTCCACTAGTGTGTCAGGATTAAACATCAAAAACCACACAAACATTTCCCACATAAAGAATAGAACATTCAGTCTGTCACAGTATCATGTTTTCAAGCTTGATGTTTATTTTGTGATTATTAATAAGTGATAATCTGAATGCTGGGGGAGCGAATTAGCTCATTTAGAGTTGGTGTGTGGGTTGGGTTGTTTTGATTTTCAACTGAACCAAAACACATTGAATTCTGCAGCACATCCACATGTTAAGATAGTCAAAGTCAAGCTAGCGTAACTGACCTACTTCCCTCTCCCTCAATATTTTTTTCAATTAAAACATTTTTTCTTTACTTCTACAATGTTGTACCTTGTTATGCAGTTGTTGTAGTGTTCACAATTAGTAGCAACGCATTGCGTCTCTTTTTATTTTACGTATCGTACCTACATTTAAGATTTAGTGCGTTATGTTGGCGACTTGACAGCTAAAACCTAATGGTAGTCATCGTCATCATCAACAGTTTTTTTCCTCTCAAGCAGGGAGCTGGAGGGTGGGATCTTGTGTCCATGACAACATGCCGCAACGTGTCTATAGACGGATGTTCTGACCCGTCTTATCCAACTAACATGAGCTCTCTGTTCAGTCCATTAGCAGCTGGTCTCTTATATCCCGTTTCCTTAATCTCTAATGGCTTAGAGATGGAATTATCATGCAATTGGTGTTAAATTACCTTCATCCAACTAGAGGTGAGAACATTATAGTAAGGTCTGGAAGGTAGGGAAAAAGAAAAGTTGATGCAGAACCACTCTACGTACCAAACACAGTCCTAGCAGGCACCGATTCTCTGTTTAGCCAGAATGACACCTGGGAAAGGATGACTGTCATGATACACGGGAGGTACGTCTGAATGACAAAGTAACCAATCTTCCTCTTTAGGTGGAAATGAGCTGTCATCACTGTGTATTCACCTGCAAAAAAAAAAAAAAGACAAGAACAACGTTAAATAAATACCAGTAAGAAAATGTCGTCTTCACTGGTGTATAAACCCTGCCAAAAATCCATCTGGTTTATACAGGTTTTCAGTCCTTTTTGTCTGGTTTGGTTTAGTCAAGTCAAGTTTATTTGAAAAGCACATTTCAGAAACAAGGCAGTTCAAATTGCTTTACATCATAAAAACATCATACAGTCACTGATTATGAAACAAGCAATAAACATTACATTTTGTCAAACGCCATCTTCAAAAATCACATCAAACATGTTGATCAATGTTCCACTAATCAGCTGTACGCAGGTGGCGTTTAAGCCTTGGCTTAAAGGGAATCACCAGGTGTATTTCTGTTACAAATGTGAGTAAATCTTTGACGCTATTGCGCTAATGTCGAAAAAACACAATTTTGCAGTTGCAGTGTTTCGATTCAATAAGAAATTAAACTAAAATCACACATGAATAAGCGTAAGCACACGTTACGCAACAAGTGTAACAATCATGGCAGCGACAGATGTAAATGGTTACATGAGATCATATTTATAATCCAGCCGTGGCGCTAGTGCTCATCATCCAGCCAATCAGAGGAGACGTCTGTGTCTTACTCAGGAGTTGGAGTGGCAAGCCCCGCATGCTTGGAAGGGGCTACAAACACGGCTTTTGGAGGAAACAGTAGTTGGCGATTTTAAGTGGATTCAACATGTTGGGATGACACAGAGGTTTTTTTGAACTGAGCTCTGGTGGAGCTAGCTGCTTATTGTTCTGAAAAAACCAACAATGAGCCATGATCCTCCTACTACTTCTTGTTGTCTTCTTTGACGTTTTCATCATCCGGTTGTTGGTCATGTGACTCAAAAGGGTTTCCATTGCTGTTTTGTGAAATATATGCGTTACGATGCGGCTGAAGAACCACCTCATCCTAACAAAAAAACCTTTAATGAAAGTTTTTCTAAATTGGTGTGTTTCCATTATGCAAATTTATTTTTGCACTTTCAATTTGCACAATTTTATGGTGAATGGAAACCCAGCTAGTAGTCTGGAAGTTTGTTCCAGATTCTGGTGTTAAATTATAGTTAAGATAGGCATCAACGCCCCTTAAACTCATGTAGATTTTTTTATTTACAGTAATTTAATAAATTATAGCCTGTTCTGCTAATAAAGATTAGAAATAAAGACACCTCTGTGTTTTCTTAGCAGCACAGCCGAATGTCTGACAGGAGCATGAAACTGTGTCAGAGCTGCACTAACAGGCAGGCAAGGCTTTCCAAATGGAAGAGATCTCAAAGACCAGCCAAGATTAGCAATGAGAAGAAAAAGATGTGTTACCCATGGCAACAGAGCAGAGAAACATAGCTCATTTGTTGCGATTTGGAAATGAACGCCTTGATACAGCCATCCGTTCGGCATGAAGGAAGTCCTTTTCAGCAATGTGAACGAGGGGGAAAGGAGGGTGTCAACTAAACGGACTAATCCTAGAACGTCTTCTTTTCGTTCCCTCTTCGTTTTGGTATAAAAACGGTGGCATCGCTTGTGTTTCTGTTGGAGCTAATTCTCTCTGTCACCTGCCACACACAGAAGCTCAGAAGCTCTCGGTACGCAACGGAGAGCTCTACATCTTGTGTAATTTCATTTGCATGCCAGTCCCCGTGCCTTGGCTGTGGAAAGGGGGAGGTGTATGAGCCACGCGCTGGAAGAGGCCGAGTTTCCTTCGCAGCAACCTATGATGCTTTCATCCACAGGGGAGATAACGACTGGATTCCACAGAAAGTAGTCCCATCAGCATTCCCTCAGTCAAAGCACGCACGGATCCCTGATCAGTCACCGGCAGGGACTAATTTAGGAATCACAGGGGGGCTACATGGCGCTTAAGATGCACACAACGATTTAATTTCTTACAAATAATGCTACTGAATAGGCAATAACAAAACCTTATGGTTTAAATAAAGTAGAAAAAAATAATCATAGCAACATTTTTATGTTTTTAAGATGCCAGAACAAGCAGAAGTTTCCTGGCTATATGGAGGACAGATTAACATTGTGTTTCCCTCCTCCACTTGTTGCTGTACACTTCTTTCCCTCATCAGCAAAAGAGAAGTTCAGCCGTTTGGAAACATTTATGAAATTCTGAAAGTTATGATAGACTAAATTAACTTTCAAGAGTGAAAAATGTTTTTTCTTTTTTATTTCTTTGAAAAATAGTATTGTCTAACCACTTCACCCATGCGGTTCTTAACTTCATTAAATAACGCTTTCCTCCTCACTATTTGGTCACATGATCAGTGTTTTTTTTGTAATTCAGTGTTCAATAAAGTTCAAAAATACAAAAAAAAAAAAAAATTAGCTGAGCTTACTGCACTGTTTAATAGGATCAATAGGAATGTGCGTTGCTGAATTGAAATAGTTTTTTTTTTTTCCCAAAGTGCCTAGAGATAACGCTAAATATAAGAATTGAGTTGTATTTAATTGAACTGCACTTCGGTTAGGAAGAATTTTGACAGATCACTATAACACATCAGCAACTAGGCTGGAGTGGCCTAGTCAAATTCTTGGCTCAAATCCAATTGAGATGCTGTGGAGTGGGCCTTTCACATCTATAGGGATGACAGTTTCCACAAACCCAGTGATTAGGCTTTTGGGGGAAATTACTTTTCGCCAATTCTCTGATAATAAAATTTATTTGATGAGCTGAAGTGTGACGAAAAGGGAAAATCCAGAAGAAATCTGTATGTGTGTTGGACGTCATTATTGTCAACAAGTTTGCAAAGCCAATTATTTATTTTAAAGTGCCCATGCCCAGATTCAAAAAAATAAATTTTAAGACCAAGCAGAAACAAGCGAGTTGTGCTGCAACGGCTTCGTCTTGCCTGGCTGGACGGTGCGGCTACAGATGCAGCAGGATGTCCGTCCCTGTCGGATCTCAGAGCGGCTTCGTTAGCGCCCAATGACCTAGTTTGTTAGCATGCTGCACACCAACACTGACACAAGAGCGATGAATGATTAATGTGGAGCCAGCCAATCAGATAATGTGGAGAGGCCAGTTAGACGAGAGAAACAGCGACTGGCAGCATTCTGCCTTCCAGTGACGCACCAAACGCCACTTAACCCAGATAGGAGCGTGGAGTGACGACGGCAAAGTGTTGCTCAGTGAAACTGCAGCAGGGATTCCCCTGATAATGGGATTCACTTACTGGGTGGGGGGGTGGGGGGATACATAGTGGTAATTGTTATCTAACAGGAGATGTTGGTGGAGCTCTTGGTTCAGAGACATGGTGAAAATAAGTCCAGAATATATACAGATAACTACATGTAAATTCATTACTGTCAGTTTATAAGGAAGGAAGGAATTGAATAAATATCTGGAACTGAAAGAACATACAACTTTCTTTCCTCCATAACATCACAGGAAGTTATTAGTTTAAAAATGGATTAAAATGTCTAAATGACAGTGGACTGCTGACTGCTGGAAGCTGAATGAAACTCATCTGAGTCTTAATGACCCAGAATAACGGTGTGTTGCTTCAGTATATCTACTTCTAGATTTTGACATAAGAGTTTTGCAAGACTTTCACCCACATGATCCTGAAATACATAAAAGCTGCAGATTAAAATGTCCAAAAGTATAAAGTGGAGCTTGTAGGGAGAAATGAAGAGCTCACTGTTGGTGTTCAGACATCTGACTCCACAGCCAGGCTCTGCAGACCGCCCACTATTCCCTCAAGAGTTCAGCTTGGAGGCTGTGCGGTTCTGATCGATGTCCGCCGCCAGGGACCAACTCCTCAAAGTCTTTCATAACCATCAGATGTGAATCCGACTGCAAGCTCTTCAATCTCATCTGGTTTGTCTTCAAAACACAACCATTTCCAGAAGTTTTAAAGTCTGTGTTTTATTTAAGCACCTCATCTAATTGGCAATACTTCAAGAAATACGTGGCAGTAGCTTCTCTAAGTAGGAACAACAAAAGCATGGAAATGGAGGCTGTGAGGCATGTGTAATTATGACCAACATTTTATCTTTTGTGGCATCGGATTGAGCAACCTGGAAACCTGTTACAGAAATATGTTCACTAGAACAAGATCTTCACAAGGCGCTACATGGTGCAGTTATGCCATCTGTGTATTTTATGTTCTGGTGATGCAGAAAGCAAGAGGACAGTTGTCAAATTTCAGTCACAAGGAGTGAAAAAGCTAAAATGTCATAAATTTGGAAGACAAAAGTGAAGCTTTGTGGAGTTTTTTTGAGAAAATTTCTCAAGCAAAATTCTGACCACTAATAACTACTCTACAGAACCCCGCTTCAAAAAGTCCTTTTAAGCCTCTTCTATAACCTGTCACATATGTCTTCTGATCAACCCTCAGTTAGAGTTACGGCTGGGAAATAAACCCATAATAATACCAATCTATTATATCTGATATAATGCTCAATAATTTCACTAAATCCAGAACCGCACAGCATCCTGGGAGATGTAGGCAGAGGAAAGACTTTAGCCACTAATCTCTCATGGCGAGCGAAGCCAGGTTGTTGGCATCAGCTATGTCTCTCACTCTATGGTTACCTAGCAACAACCTGCTGAGTAACTTGCACAGCAGCAGTTTCACGTTTTGACACCGAGCCTCACGACTGGTAAAAAAATAAAAAACAACGGCGTGGAGTGAAAGGAGAACAACTTCTCCAGAGGAAATTGTGGCTAAAACAAGGTCATATCACCAGTTTGGCAGTATTTCAGATAATTGTCGATATCAACTGATATGAAACGATTATATTGCGATACGATTCTCAGCCACATCGTCCAGCCTTCAGCTTGAGTGACAAATAGCTTCTGATATCTTTGTGTCTTCTGAAACTTTCCTGACCATGTTTGGAGTGCTGCGCTACAACTTTATCATTAGCTTAAAAACATTTTTTTCCATTGCAATGTGCACCGTTACCATAGCAACACACCTTGAATCTGGTTCATCTGTCAGGTGAATTTTGCGACCCCTCAGGGCTTCACTCTCCATTCGCCGCTCTTACCCCCTCCCCCTCACTCAGGTTTTTTGTTGTCACAAAGTAACGCGACGCGTCAGCTTTGACCCGGTTCTGTTAGCCGTTCACGTCGCCACGGCAGCGCGGGGCGTCCCGACCTCACCCACAACCGTCACGTCTACACTGCACTGATGCGGCGGCCTACTTAACACGTTTTGTGTTCCTCATTGCCTCCACCTGCTCCAGCTCTGCTGCTGTTTATGCGTTCTCCCCGGAGGGCGTTTATTTCTAAGTTAATAACCACTGAGAGGTTGTTTTGCGCGGTGCTCTGTATGATATCTATCACTGTGCTGCGTGTGGCTCCATATTGCCACAGCGGATGGCCTAGTAAAGAGAGCCAGTTACAATGCAGTCAATTGATATTAATGCTTTTTAAGCAACCGGAGATGAATTAAAACTGTGGAGAACTCTCAAGACTTGTAAAGGTATTCATATGCCTTACATTTTTTGGAACATTGTGTCATATTATTATGACACCATGGGATTTAATCAGACAAAGTTTATTATTGCATATTGTAAAGGAGATATAAAGGGATGCCTGGTTTGAAATTATTTTATTAAATAAGAATCTGAAAAGTGTGGCATAAATGTGTAAGACTCACATTGACAGGGTAATTGTCAGAGTTAGGACTGAAGCGATTAATCGGATTAATCGATTATTGAAATAATTCTCAACTAATTTAGCAATCGATTAATTGTTAACTGGAGCATACAGACTCAAAAAAATGCCATTTTATGAAAGAACAATGTATTGAGTAGTAATTAAGTCAAAACTGGATAAAAAAAAAATATATGCATTTTACATCTATGATAAAAAAAAAATACTTTCCTTGTAAGTATGTTCTACCCAAAACTCCTCAGGTGAAAGACAGACATCACCTGATTCAAAATATGTAAATTAAACGCTATTAAGCACCTTTTCCTATACAGTTATTAATCGTTTAATTGAGAAAATAATCAGCAAATCATCCAAACACTGCATTGATTTAAGTCATGCAGAAGGAGCTGAGCATCTCACACTTTGACATTACAAGTGTTTCTTTTAGCTGCACCTTTGCAACAAAGGATCAGGTGTTCACTAAAGGAATGCTAAGTTATTGCATTTTAGGCAATAAGATGTTTATTCCCTAAATTAAGAAGAGGAACTGAATTATTTATTTCCATCTTTTAATGCATTTCTAATAAATGAAAAATCTGCAGAATGCGGCAATTTTTTTAAATCTGGTTAATTGATAGAATAATCAATAACTAAAATAATCGCTATCTGCCACCTCAGACAGGTTATTCACTCATTAAATGATTTCTGAAAGTGACTGAATGCACAAGGAGCTAAATATAGATGAGTTTGAAAATCTTTTTTATATCACACGTTTTTCTTTCTTTTTTGCAGTTATATGCCTCTTCTAGTTGGTCTTTCACTTGAAATTCCCACAAATAAAATTCAATTTGTAAATAAGATGTCTCATAACAGCTGTCCAGCACAGTGGAGAAGAGGTGACGGTTTTTTGTTCAGCCCCTGGACACAAAGCGATCGTCGGTTTGATGACAAACTCATATTTACACCAAAGTGAGATGCAATCAGATGTCAGATAATATCCATCTGAAGCCCAGACTCCACTTATGTTGAATTAAAATGTATTAATCATTACAGACGAGTTGAAACTGAACCAGTGTGACGTTGCGTAATGTAAGCAGTGTATAACCATGCGTGCCATCGCCAAAGATAAAAATGGTGATTTCAGAGTGAGTGATATTTCCGAGTGGCCGCTGCAGAAAACATCACAGCCTCTTCTTGTTTTTGCTGAAGAATCCCACTAACTCTACAGTAGCTAAATCCACAGTCAGGTTTTCTTCTTAATGGCTCACAAGCAGCATTTTATCTGATCTTCCAGTCTGTCTCAACGTGGTAGCTCTCTTTTTTTTATAGATGCATGCTACCTCAAGCTCTGCCCCCATTTCTTGTCATCTGTGTTAGCATGCTTGCTTGAAATGTTGCTTCTATTTTTAGCCCTCATTATCAGTTTTTTTCTTCTTTTTTTTTTTTTTTTTACGGTGTAGCCTATTTTCTGGAGCATTTGTTTTCTTGGTTTTCTGTCTTTTCCAAAGCTGGAACTTGACAAGTGATTTGCTTAAATCATGTATTGTTCTCGTTTCATTCAGGCCCCAAGAAGCAAAGCGAGCGCTTCTATTCGACGCAGCCAGATGTCCCTTGGATTTGATGTAACCAAGCAGGTTGCATGCGAGATCTGAGGCGAAATAGAAAGCAATTACATTCTGGGAGGCGAGATAACTTTTATTGGGTTTGATTGGAGTCTTAATTAACCCTAAATGAAATGTAAAGAAGGACAAAGCAGATTTAGCTTTTTGCATATTTTCATGGAGATATCTGAACTGATCTTTAATCCAGGCGTCCCTGTTCAATTAGATGAGGTTAAAACAAAGCCATTCTGCACAAGCCAAACCACCAGTCCTGATATTTAATAATAAATCAGATGCAAAAAGAAAAATAAAAACAAAGTGAGCATGAAAAAGCTAAAACTAGCAAATTCACAGCCACCTCCTGCAACACGTAGGAGGTTGAGGAGCTCAGCATCCTGTCGAAGAAGAAAAACTGTTTGGTTTTCACACACTGCGACAAAACTCAGAAAAAGATTTGAAAGTGTTGAGCCCAAAAAATTAAAAGCTGAAGGCATCACTGCAACTCTTAGATCAGACCTGACATGTGTTGCTGCAGAAATAATGACTAAAGAAGTACTTTGCCCACACGCTCAGCAGGTGTAGCTCTTACAAATATTGGCGTTTCCCAAGCTGAAGGATACACGTGTCAAGGCCCGGGGGCCAAATCTGGCACGTCATAAGTTTTTATGCGGTCCTGTGGACTCTGCAATCTTTACAATCCAAAAAGCCAATTTTGCCCACAGTCTGGTGAAGTAAAACTTGTTTAGAACCACAAATGGTAAGAGACCATTTGGAAAACGTTTTGACAGAATTTTGTTGTCATTTTCAAAGGACCAATGCTTAATTTTAAAAAAAAGATTTTGTTGGCTTTAGTAGCCTTTATTTGAAAGTAGTTCGAGAGGAAAGAGGGCAATGAGAGAGGGGGAAGACATGCGACAAATGTCACCAGGCTGGGAATCGAGCCTGTGACCACCGCCACGAGGACCAAATATGTGGGTTGTGCTTTGCCTCTGCGCCACCACGGCACCCCAATGTTTGATTTTTATGTCTTAAAATAAAAACCTGACACTTTGCAAAAAAAAAAGGACAGATACATTTTCGTCTGTGTGATGTTGACATTTGTAAAAAATTATGAAAAAAATATCAAACAAAAAAAAAAACAGTTCAAAACCTAAAGACCGAAAATACATCTATTAAATGTTTTTCAAGGACAAAAGAGGAACAACCTGCATTGCGATCACAATTAAATTTTAAACATTAGTTGGCTCCATTTTTAAATATTATTTTATCAATAACAGTTTTTATCTGTGTTCTGCCAAATTACATGAGTGTGAAAAGATGTTCAATATTATTTAACTTTAAGAAGTACTCCTCAAATGCAGAACCAGCTATTGACTCTAATTTTAACAGCTTGTTGCTGGGTCGTTTTATCGATACATTCTGCCTCAACCGGCTTTGGACATTCATGATCTTGATGTGGCCCAAAATGAGAATGAGCCCGGTGCCCCTGGTGTGATGAGTTTTCTTCTGGACGTCTGCTGGAGTCCCGTCGGCTCTTACCTGTGCTCGATTTGATACGTTCCTGTCCAACAGTCTGACCAAGCAGGTCGTACTGGTTCAGGCGGGAGCTCTCCTCTTCCACCACCACCGAGTCAGAAGCATTTCGGGTCCAGGCGTAAGTCACCTCTGAGGTTGTGTAGGCGTCTGAAAACAAAAGGGAGGAGGATAAACCCAAAGGAAAATAATCCTGGGGCGGTTACAGATATCAATTACTTTTCTTTTTTCAGTGACCCAAATGAAGCATCCCCGCTACTGTGTATTTAAAGGGGCAGTATGATGTAAAATTGACTATTTTGAGCTTTACATCGTGTTATAATGTGGTCCCCTCATCTAAAACATATCTGTATTGTTGCTTTAATTCTGTCATGCATGTTTGAGAAATCTTTTAATCACCATGGCAACCATTTAGCTAGGTAAAACTATTTGTGGGACCTCTACCCGCCTTTGAGGATGAAGCTCCTCCTCACAGCTGCAGTTTTCAAGCTTCCGCCTCCCCAGCGACTCCCCCCCACTCAGCTCCTTCAGACTAGCCAGCAGCAATTAGCAAACACTTGGTGGAACTGTGTGTCTGCTGAGCTCATTACAGGAGCTACTTCTCAGTGAAACGCTGGTAAAAACGTTAAAGGGTTAATAATAGAGGTATGAAGACTTCCTGAAGGCGGAGGTTCAGAAAGAGCCAGAGCTTCTTAAAGAGACATAGGCCCAATTTTAAGGCGTTATTTCCAAAGTCAGATTTCTGTTAAATCAAATTGAATATATATAGAATGTTACTGAAAACATAATACTGCCCGTTTGAAGCATAAGCTTTGAATCAAAACCCTGTTGACGTTTCCTGTTCTTGTTTCACTGCGTTAAGAAAACGCGATAAACTTTTTACTGTAAGTCATCACATGAATGCTAATCATGCATTTCATTTATTCGAGACGTGAAGGCACTTCAGACATGACCTACTGAGTTCTGATGTCTGATAATGGCTAATTATTAATCTCCTCATTTCCTGTAACCAGCTTCACAGCTTAAAGCAAAAATTAAAGTAAATAAATAAAAAAATCAGTCATCCAAATGTAAAGAAGCCATGGCACCTAACGAAAGACCTCAGATCTCCAAAGGAAAATATTTGGATGACTTTAGAGGGGAAAACAACTGCATTTTCCCTTTCGATGCTATTATGTTTAAACTTTTAACGCTGGTGCACTGTTGTTGATATTTGTAGGGTCACTACCAGCTGAGCCGTGCATTTGAGCTTCACTCGGTACTCAGGCCGCTCTTGGACTGAAGAACCAGTGAGGTGCATGGCAGACAAAAGGATTGCATTTTAGTTGCAGTTGCCTCAGGCTCTATCATCATGAGAGTTACTCACAGCTGCCAAATTTTAGAGGACAGGAGTGAAAGTCCATGGGGAAATCCTCCAGATGCATTGGGCACTCGGCATGCACTGTTAACCTGCATCCAATTCACAGAACATTAACGAGAATTTGCAAATGCATGAAAAGTAAACAGCACAGGTTATAAACAAACAAATAATGAAAAAAAAATGAAACTAAAAAAGCTGCATGCACCATTCAAGACACTAAACATTTCCAGTGCCTTGAATTGGAAAGAATTAGTCTGTGTTTTAACCAGCAGTAAACAGGAGGCTGCAGAGAGGCTAAACTCTCTGCTGTCTGTAGCCTATAGCACAACACATGACGATACGTAGCTAAAACAGGATATTTTTATTCACTGCGACTCACTGTCTGACTAAACATGTCCTGTTTTAGGTCAGCTAGAATTATTTAAGAATTGTTTTATTGCTTCAACTAACTAGCTAGTTAGCTAGCTAACAAAGCTAGCTTAGTCTCAAACTTGAACTGCTGCTAATTGCTGAAGGCTGCATGGTGTGTTTAACTTTGCTTTCTAAGGTCTCGTGACTGTTGAACCTTTGCGTTTTGCTATGTTGTTTTTATTTTTTTGTGTGTCTTTAGAGTCTATGTGAAATAGGTTTCTCTTCTTTGCCACTCTGAGGATTTCTGCAGCTACGAAAGATAAAGAGCAGTCAGTTCTCACAGCTTCTTGTCAGGAAGCTAGTTCTCACAGTCTATCTTGTAAATAGTTTTGCACTTCTGTCCTTGAGTATAAAAGACATTTCCTATGTTTGTAGGTCGGAGTTTACTCTCTGTCTTTGCTCTCATCTTGTGCAAGATACTTTAATAAACCCGACTTGTGTCATTTTCCCATACTGCCTGGCTCTCACGGCTCAATTTTAAAATTGTCGGTTGATTTTCAAAACTTGAGAGAGGCCCCACCTATGACAGTATGACAAACGGTTCGTTTGTTATTGAGCCTGACAAACGAACCAGTTTTCTGTGTATTTAGTGAAGGCCAACAACCAGTCAAAATGTTCAAAACAAATTAAGGCCTGCACACGCACCACAAGAACAGAGAAATTAGTCATTTTGCCTGAGGTGGAGAGAGCAAAAACAGAGTTATTTAAGAATAAAACATTTTATACTTCAGAAGAGCTGGTGCTGAACTTTAGGAATGTTTTTGTACATTTATCTTCCAATGTACCATTTGTCATTGTAGTGACCACTAGAACGATGGTTCTCACACACCAGGATAATGTTCTGGCCAGAATATGGATCAAGAACAAGCTGCAGGAACAGAACAATATCCTTTTCTTTGAGACAATACATTTCTCCATTGTCTGTAGAAACTGGGTATAAACCGTGATTTCAGTCCTCCTAATTTAAAAAACCTTGTTCATGTTCAACACTATTCCTAATTTCTGAAACTATATTTACCTTTCTTAAGTTATTGAAAAACAATTACTTCATTAACACATCTTTAAATTCACCTAATGTTCTTACAAAGATCTTAAAAAGTTTTTTATTTATGTAACTGAAATCTGCAGATTAATGAAGGTTGAATAAAGACTGATAATACCAACTCATTGTATCTCTTCTTTCTTCTCTTGGCTAAAATATTGCATGTTTTGAAGTGAATGTAAGTCACTTCTAGAGCCGCGTTGACCTTTCATCGCTATTTAAAGATTATTTCATCTCATATTGTGATTAAATTCTTGGATTTCATGAGTATTGATCCGGCTGGTATTGTGCAGATTTTTTTCACAAGCAATCGGTTTTAGTTCAGTGAAACGTTTCTAAAGTTCAGCTATATTATGACAATGATTTGGAGGGACGCAAAGATAAATAGTGGGGTTTAAACCCAACAATTAAGAGACATTTTTAGTGATGTAATAATGTGACGATGCGGTGCAGAAATCCCAACATTTTATTTTGCTGTGTTTTTATAATTCAGAACCAGAACCAGTCCTGGTTTAGCACTGGAATCTTTAAAAAAAAAAAAAAAGCCTAAAAGTGGTGTTTGACATTTTGTTTGAACATGAAGATTGTTTTTACCTCATGGTGTAGAGCAGAGTCCCGTCGTCTTTGATCCGTAACAGTTTATTGGGCATGGTCATGTTGTGCGCCACAGACTTTTTCCCGTTGTGAAAGAAGGTGTCAGGAGTCCAGATCTTACTCGCCATCAGGTTGTTCAAGGGCAAAATGTTCATCGGCCCGTGAAACGTCAACCTCTCGTCCCTCCAGCTTTGCCGGAAGAAAACGTCTATAGTGTACTCCTGAGGATGGGGAAAGCAAATTGGTGAAAAAGTGATATTCCTGGTTTTTTCCCCCTTTTTTAATTCCTGTGTGAAAACAAAAAGCCCTTCCCTGCTAAATATAGCAGAGGAAAACAGTGCACAAGTCCGCTCATGATTTATGGATGTCTACAAGCAGCATCTTCACAACTGACTTCATCTGCCACTTTGAAACCTTTCCCTGCTTGACAAAAGATCCATTAAGGTGCCGCCTGCGCTCTCCGTCTTATTCCCTGGATTGGTGTTTTCCCGGCCAGAGCAAACCCCCTGACCTAAAACCCAGAGCTGTCAGAAGGAACCGCACACGCAAGAGAGGATTTAGGGCACAAAGCACAGCACAGCACCGTGAAATGCGAGTATGTGTGAGATTCACAACCAAGAGTGGGAGTGAGAGATACAGAGTTGTTTTTATCTCTTTTCCTTTTCACGTCACAATCAAAAAGTCTATAATATTTAGATCTCCGGATGGTGAAACTGTAACTGAATTCTCATGTAGCTCAGCAGCTCGCAGGAGGATTAGCTGCCATTTACATCTTTGGTCATCTTAGGCAGGGACGGATTTAGGAGAATAAGGGCCCATTTTTGTCCCCTATCACAGAAAAAAAAATCTTTTACTAATAAAAACTGTAGAACATGAGCAGGCAGGTCTACACATCTCCAGGTACGAATTGATGAATGGTTGGTTTAAAACTTTTGGCTCCAAGTTGGTCACAAAATGATGGTAATTTTCAAATATTTGAGCAAAGTTTCAATTAATAAAAATCCAACAATATTTTAAAAGGGTAGCATTATATAAAGTCGACTTTTTTGAGCTTCACATCATGTTATGATATTATTCTCTCATCAAAAACATAATTGTAGTGTCGCTTTGATTCTTTCATGTATGTTTGAGAAATCCTTTAATCTCCATGGGAACCATTCAGCTGCGCAAAACGCCTGGGTGGACATGGGCGCTTTTCTCAGCAAAAGTGCCTCACAGAGCAGCCCTCTCCCACTCAGCTCCTTCAGACTAGCCAGCAGCAATTAGCAAACACCTGGTAAAACTGAGCATCAGCTGAGCTCATTATAGGAGCTACTTCTCAGAGCAACGCTGGTAAAAACATTTAAAAGGATCACTAGAGGAGCCATGCTATGACTTCCTGAAGGTGGAGTTTCAGAAAGAGCAGGAGCTTTTAAAGAGACAGAGGCCCAATTTGTGGCGTTAAATTACACAGTAAAATTTCTGTTGAGTCATATTTGATATAATCAGCATTTTTATAACTGAAGTTAACATAGTTACTTGTCTATGCCCTAAAATGGCATTATGTGACTGGAAAACACATAATATTGCCCCTTTAATAAAACATAAAACAAATACAGGCAAAAGGTTTCAGCTCAGTTTTCTGCTCTGTGTTTAAGTCCTAACTGCTAAAACTGAAAAGCTCATAACCTCTTTGACAATAAGATTCTTCTTTTTGGCTTAAAGCAATCTGGTTCCCCCGTTACTTCTCTTTTGATTTAATTTCTCACATGACAGGATTACATGAATCTATGAAGCAGTATGCATGTCTGAAATGTATTGATTGAGTCTATTGTGGTGGTGGAAGGATGATGATTTGGGCTTGTTTTGTCTTCTGCTGTCAGTTCCTGAGCAGAACGTGAACTCCTCTTTATGCAAAGTGATTCTTGTGACAAATGTGAGACCATCTGCCATGTGACCATCTGTGAGACTCAGACGATGACTCCTCTGAGTTACTGCGGCTAAAGGTGCATCAAAAAGCTAGTTTCATCACTGCGATCAGTTCTTTTACATTTAGGCTCACTTTGTGCTCATCAGTCAACAACATGGCTTATCTTAGGTTCAAATCACCTCATTCTTTTCCAACCACTGCCATTTCTGGGTGGAACATAGTCATAATTAAAAGGTTTTATTTACCTTAAATAAAAAAAGGATGTATGTTTTTTGTAGAATTTTAACTGAGTGTTTTGTTCTTTCAGCAAATGGCCATTTTTGAATCTGTATGCTCCAGTTAACGATTAATCAGTTACAAAATTAGTTGACGATTACTTCAATAATTGATTCATCATGATTAATCTGACTAATAGTTCAGCCCTAATTACTAATCAAAGCTTCTAGACACTTGATATATAGCAACTGACTGGGATACCCAATAGGTTTTTTCTGATGCCAACGAGTGTGAAGGCCCCTGTGGTCTAATTAAAACCTACCTGGAGATGAATTTTTATTCATTAGGGCTTTAGTTGAGCTGCACAGTGAAATCTTCCTCCAGTGAAATGAAATTATTGAATGTTTTCCTATCAGATGTTTGCCCGTCTGTCCATCTGTTCATGTGCAATATATTTTGAAAAATAGACATCAGGGGTGCAATTAGGCAGACTGAGCACTCCACTTAGACAATTAGTCACAGTACATCACATGTGGGTGGTGATTTTTAGAACTGGGATCTTCGCCCGTGCAGCAACAAATCTTTCACACAGTTTGCAGATTTAATACGCATTTCATTCCATGCAGGAGATGTTTTGTTTTAGGCCGGGAGATCTATGGTGTAAGAAGAAGAAGAAGAAAAAAGTTTCATCACACATCCAGTTTCTCTGATTGCTAAATCGACTGATCAATCACCTGGAAAATGGGAGCAGATAAACAGAAACGGGGCTGAAGCAAAGGTGGCCATGTGTTTCAGAATAACAAGCAGGAAGGCGCAGAATAAAGAAAGCAGTGACTTGAATACCAACAAGATGCTCAATAATGTATGAGATGAAAATTTAGAGATGAATAGACATCGTGCCGTAGTGTGGCTTCTGTATCATCTGTGAGTGTGTGGTGTGTGTGTTCATGCGTGCGTGTGTGTGTGTGTTCAGAAAAAAAACAGAGTGATGTAACAGCAAATGGATAAAAAGGGCCTACATGACTAAAATAAAGCAAACAGAAGCACTCTGCTCCTCCAACAACAGCTGAAGTATCACAGTGAGTATCTGCACTCACCATGTCGGTGTCTGAGACCGGTCCAAAGCTGGTGACGAAGATGTTGGTCTTCACCTCGGTTACCCTGTCTGGATCAGAGGAAAAAGCCCGGTGTCATCTCCCACAGCGTCTCTCCTGCCTCACAGACCATTAATATACAAAACAGGAGACGGTTTGTTCGTCGGACAGTCACTGAAGAGCCCGTCTGGGCCCCTTTTACTAGATAATCTCAGGCTGAAATACCAGATAAATTATTATTTTCTAAAAGACTTTTGTGTGCGACTCCCACAATGTGGAAAACTGAGGTGCAGAAAAACATTTTTAGAAAGAGAAACTTGTTTATATGCAGAAAGTAGAAACATTTAGTTGCTTTTCCCTAAAAAGAAAAGAAAAAGCCAAGAACGTTTTAGATTTGGAAGCACTGTACTTCCCAAAAACAGGGAATGTTCCATGTTTCCATTTCAATGTAAACAGGGTTTTAATTCAAAACATATGTAAATGACTTAATTACAACTAATTATATTAAACTATTGGTTCAGAAAGTGCAATTAGACACTCTAAATACAATGTAAAAATGAATAATAAAGCTTGACATCACTCAGCGCACAAAGCATAGAATTAGAGTTGAGTATATCTGCCATGATGGATCTAGAATTTTTTTCAATATCTGAGCCGATAAAGATATCGATATCGGATCTGTGTTATTGGTGAGCATTGCAATCGTTAACATTATCATTTTCACCCTAACATCCAACATGCAGCTTGGATAAGGGCAATCAATGTTCATTCTTTACATCTTCTATTTCCAGACAATAATAAGTGAGAAAACTACCAAAATCAGAAGGATATCAAATCAAATAATAACTTTCCTCAAAAGTACATTTACAAAATACGCTCTGAGCAGAGTCTGTGGCTGTGAACCTGCGGAGCTCAAACAGCCTCACAGAGGTGAGGTCAGATAGACGGACTCCATGTAGGGAATTGGAAAAACGCGCCGAGTTAAGGTCTTAACCCTGCAGGGCGGCCTAAGGCTGTGATGAGCACGCCGCCAAGAATCAATAAAGTGAGAAACTTGGAAAAACTACAAGGAGAGATTAGAAGAAGCATCTTGGTGTGTTTAGCTCTTGTTTTGAAGACGGTGGAACCTGATGTGAACGGTCGAAGCATGAAATCAGAGTGAGGCTTCATGTCTCATCCAAAGGTAGGAAATTATAGGACTGGAGTGGAACCACTCTGGTCGTAAAGGAGGTGGAAACAATGCCCTATTAGTAGGGATAGTGCTGCTGTGCAGTCTTTATTTCAAACTAATTAGCAAAACTCAGTAAAATTATTCCAGCCAAAACAGTCTGGTTTTGCCTCTTAACTTTTTAAAAATAGATCGCTGCTGCTCTAACCATCCGGTCTACTGGTCAATCTGAAGATTTACTTCTCAGAGGAAATAAGCCATAAGATCAATTAGAATTACTTTACTTTCTTAAAAATTTCCTTGAAATGACACTCAATGTGAATTAATACAGCAAAAAAAATAAATACTCTGGTTTATTAAATACTCATGTTTGTAATAGCTGGTGTTATTCTGCCATCTTTTTAGTTCATTAAAGCTGTAGTGTTATTGCAGTCTGGGAGTTTCTCCTCTGAAGCATCTTAAAGCACTGTGATTGGTGACAGGACAAAGAACAAGAAACAACTACTAGCCTCAATCTTTACAAGCAAAATTTAAAAAAAAAAGTCAACTCAACATGTGCTCACGGCCAATCCGCTGCATAAACAACAATTAAAAATAACAAAATTACTCATTAATGCAATTTTTGATTGAAAGGTAGAGTTTGTTAGATGTCGATAATTCACTCTCCCGACAGGCTTTTTAGTTATTTGTTCCAAAAAAAAAAAAAAAATGCAATTAGCTACAGAAATTAACAATAATTAAGCCTAAGGGTTCAGATTTTACAGCAGAGGATTCTGGGTAAATTGGAATCACAACGTTGAAATACAAGCAAAAGCCCAAAACAAAACAAACAACATTATAATTACGATAAGTCATCAAAAACACAAATCCACCACCAAATGGCAGCTCAGGTGAAACAGCATTCCACAAGAGGAAGATAACCGAAAACAAGAGCGTCTCCTGAGGGGAAGAACGCGTTTACTGTTTGAAAATATCAAGAGTGCATTTAATGCCTGAGGACTCCAGGATCTGTGGGGATAAGGACAATACCTAAAGTTCATTTATTCAGCCACAACAGTCCCAGACATGTGCTTTTCATGCAGTCTGAATCATTTGGTGCAGATGGGTTCACTGAACCGCGTTTAATTGGTAAGACACAACCTGCATGTGTTAGGGACTGCGCATTCCTCTGTGCAACTATCCAAATGTCAGCTTCAGCTCCTGCCAATTTGGACACAGAGGAAGGAGAGCATTCGCAAAAACCAAATGCTGGACTGCTTGACTGAATTTCAGCAGTTCAAACTCTTTGGCCAAACAAACTGGGAACAAACAAACTGTGCTAGGCTTTAATAGGAGGACATGATTAGTCGGAGATTACAGAAAAATAATTAAAGCTCGTCAGGGAGAAATCTTTGATACATGATGTACATTATTGTAACGTATTCAGGTTTTACAAAGCAGAGCTGTTTTTTTTTTTTTTTATCAAGATTTATCAATGAAAAGTAAACCATTAAAAGAAAGACATACTGCCATGATGTAAATGGGATTGGGCGATCCAAAAGAAACACTGGCTGAATCTGAGTTTCCATTGCAAAACGTTTTCAATATTCCACTAATGTCGAAAAAAACACAATTTGCGATTAAATAAGAAACACTATTAAAATCACACAAGAATCATCATCCTCCTACTACTTCCTGTTGTCTTCTTCATCTAGTAACATCCTGTTCTTGATCACGTGACTCGTGTGGGGTGAAAGAAAGTGTTTGGAAAAATACACTAATGTCAATAAAAATCAACAAAAACATAAACAGGTGTGAGGCCCAAACAATCATAACACTGTATTTGTTGATTTTTCTGTGGAGAAAAAAATATATATATACTGTATATCTATATATCTTTATATAGATATATATAGGTGTGTGTGTGTGTGTGTGTGTGTGTGTGTGTGTGTGTATTTTAAAATGCAGCTTGTGTAAGCTAAGATACCTTACACATAAAGCTACCTCATATACGATTGGCTGCTGTTTGCAAGCAGCCAATCTAAGAGTAAAGATGTTAGCTTCTGAGCTAGCGATAAAACCGTTTCTGCTGGCTGTACTTATCCATGTTAAGATTTATTTGGTGTTTGGAATATAAATACAGACAGATAGAAGTGTTTTAGAGAGATTTTCAAGTATTCGTTTCAGCTATGGAGCATACAGATTAACACACCACAAAGGAAAAACTTACATCAGAAATGTAAACTGAAAAAAAAAAAAAAAAAAAAAAAAAAACCATTTTGTGAATTATCAGATTTCACTCTCCTTTTTTCTACCCCCATCAGCTCCAGCTAAAAATAATTTTTAATTGAAGGAAATGGAAAACATTTTTTAACTGAACAAAATTAAAAATCACTCCAGGGGAGAAGCTGCTGCCTTCAATAAATATCTGAATGTTTCCCGATCTGGCCGGGAGAACTAGGGATTTGGTTTTTAAGTCTCTCTCACGTTACTTGAAATGTGAAAACTGTCTCCAAGCCCGTCTACCTTTCGTGTCCGAGTGAGCACGCGCAGGCAGCTGCGTTTGGCCTCTTTTCTTGGCCTTGCAAACCAAAGTTCGGTGGAGCGTTAACACGTTTTCCCCACAGATGCCACAGACGGATCTAATGTGTTTACCGCGTGGAAAACTGCATCTGATGTCAAGTTGTGTTCCTTTCCTAAACTCGGTTTGTAAAAGCTGCTTCCCCGGTGTCGTGCCTTTGTACGTTAATGCGTGCAATACAGCGGTACATGCAGAGTGTTGCAGGATTTAGTTTCCGGTGGGATTTAATGAGGTAAGGGGTAAAAAGAAAAACATCTGATCTACGTTTTCATGCTTTTAGATGACGCGTCGGATTCCAGATGATCGCTTCATCAGAGCTGCAGTTGCAACCAGATGTTTACATCTCCTGTGTAAAAAGACACAACCTTTTTATCCTCGACTGTCTGAGATCAAACCAGGCTAAACTTCCTGTTTTATAAATGACAAGATAATTTTCTGATTTCTTATTTTTCCAAGTTTGCTAATACTGCTGCGACTTTATACAATGACGTCGTCTCTTATTAAGCTTCTGATAAATTCACAACATTTCATCAAACACACTGCATACCTCGTGGGAAAAATCTAAAGAAATCAATGAAGATGTCATACAGGGAAACCAGATCCAGTTCATCCTCAGATACAATTTAAAGACGTCTGAATCTCCCAGATTACTGGGTTAAAATATTTATATGAAAATATAAACACTGAGGATATCCGGCCATCACTCTGCTCTGACTCTGTCCCAGAGATGAGCATGTTTTTGGTGAGAAATGTGCAAATCCAGTCTGATAGACTAGAACCAAAGTTCTAAGTTTGTACATTTGATGAGAAAAGAAGAAAACATGAATGCTTAAAAACATTATTTTGTTTTAAAAAGGGACTGGTATCATGAGGAAAGACCTGTACATAGAAATACTGAAGTGAATGTTTCAGTAGCCATCAGGAAGTCCTGATTTCAAAAGTGTGTGACCAAAGTGACCTACAAACTTGATTTCTTTACCTGTTCTATCAGGAGGAATGGGCCGAAATTCCAACTATTTACTGTGAGTAGCTTAAAGAAGGATACATCTGATCTAAAACTTAAGTCTAAAATTCAGTTTAATGCTAAGGAAATGTATGCAAAATTCTGAAACTGACTACATTTTTTACATTTTTTCTTGTAATCTGGCTTTCAGCAATTAGGATTAATTTTAGTAATAAATTCAACAGAAAAAAAATAACCCAGTCTTAATATTGTTCATCATCAATCAGTTTAATAAATGACTTTTTTTTCTTCAAATTAAACTAAATGAAATCCAAGTTAAAGCTAATATAGAATGACTAAAACTAAAATGTTTTACAACAAATGAAAACTAGACAATTATTATGTTAAAACATGCTGTTAAAATGACCGCCAGTTGCTCTGTCTCTGTTAAAGAAAAGCATCTCCACAGCATGATGCTGCCACCCCCCGTGTTTCACAGGAGACGGTAATGTTAGGCATCTGCAACATTTATATTTACATTTTGCATAAATCCCAATAAAATAAAGTGAAATTTGTGCTTGACAAAATGTGGAAAAGATCAAAACTGCCTAAAATAATCTATGGAATATTATACTTTAGTATCAATATTGAAATGTTTTTTTTTATGTATATACTACAAGAGTTTGTCTATTTCAAAACACATCATACATCATGACCTAAAAACAAACTGACTTGTGTAATAAAAAACATCTGGAAGAAACTTCAGGAAAACTGTGAACCTGCTGAAACACTGAGTTATTTTAAATGAAGCTTAAAAACCCAGCTGTTTAGATTTGCATTTGAAACATAAGACATGAAACACTGACCAACATATTTCATGTGTATAGATGATTTTGACTGTATGATGTTTTATGACATTTTAAAAAAGTTTTTATGTAAAGCACATTGAAATGCTTTGTTGCTGAAATGTGCCATGCAAATAAACTTGATTGTTTTATCATATATTTATCTGGTTCTGTGAAATTGACTTTATGAAGAAATGATTTATCCATTCGTGGGCTTTGATGCGTCCACTTCTCCAGGAAGTGGACTGGCTGTTGTATAATCTGAGCGCTGCGGACGCAGAGTGTTTATTGGTGTATTCTTGAGGGGACTGCTGCCAAAGGTTGTTGGTGCTATGAACGCTGACGTTAAATGAAGTGTTCTCACTGCGAACGAGCTCTCAGCCATTAAAAACGGGAGACGCGTGCGGTTGTGTAAGAACAATCGTAGCGTCGGATAGCAGAGCCCGCCCGGCTCCGTTTGTGCACACACACTGCGTCTCCTCACCTCCCAGACCCGGCCGGAGACGGTTGTCGTATCCATCCAGCAGTCTGTCCAGGATGAGCGTGAACAGGGTGATGTTCTCCGACACGGCGTTCACCGATCTAGGCAGCAGACACATAACAGGACCGTGAGACAACAACCAATTCAAAACTTTTTTTAGACTCAGGTCTGCTCTGGGTTTCCTCCCTGCTGTCTGGTAGCGACTCCCCGCGCATGCCAACGCAAGACGCACAAATAGACGTTGTTTCCCCATCATGGCTGACCCAGTTCAAGACATTCGAGAGCCATGTGACCTCGGAGCCAGAAACACAGCCGGGTATGTAAATGCAATCAGGGCAGAGATTCATGGTAAATGACTTCAGATTGGGTCCCACATTAAATCTTAGCTAAATCACCGGCACAGACAGCTCTGCTGGAGCAGCCTCGGGTTATTGGTTATTGTGAAAGTATGCAATATTAAGAACTGTTTACATCTGGGCTTTTTATCTACACAACTTTAATAAACCGAGTTTCGTCTGAGCTGGAATTATTTCCTCCGCTACGGCTTGGAAATGTTCATTTCTTTGTCTTTAACTAAAGTTATGTTGCCTTTTTCTCTTTTTTATGTGTCTGTGTTTCTATAGGCCTATTTTGTAATCACATTTAAATAAGAAAAATGAACGTATTCATGAAGTAATAAACAATATCTAGTTTGTTCTTTAACAGTCACATCACCATAGTCATAAAAAATACAGCAGTCTTGTGTTCTGAATAAACATATAGATGATATATAACCTCATATTCTAAGTGTCAAAGCGTTTCTGTTTACCTTATATCGTTAGGATTTGAGCTGGGCAATAAGACAATAGCGATATATATCTCAAAATAGGTTTTCCTCGATTGATATATGAGAAAGGGTCGATATAGACCCTCAACACAGACATGTTGCAACGTGACGTCACATGCACAAAAACTGCCTGGTCGTTGGGTCAAAGGTCAGGTATAATATATTAAGGAGCACATCCTTAGAATAGCTTACTCAATAATTCAGAAAGCTGCCACAACAAAATAAACCGTTAGAGACTTCGATACTTATTGACAACAGTTGGAAATATGGTTAAAGCAGCAGCAGCAACATATTGTCACCATCGTTTCAACTGGAGTGGTTCACACTGAGAAGTAGTTATTTAGTACAATATGAAACCTGCCACAATCAGTGCGACCGCTAGTAATTCACATTAAATAAACGTAACTAGATCATGTCTAAGTTTATCGTTTCTCTTGAAAACAGGACAGTAGGACATGCAGTGGAAGAAAGGCTAATATGTGTTGATCTTCATAATCCGTGAAACAAACATCAGCTGCAACACAGAGTCCCTTTATATCAAGGCTACAACAACCCACCTGATTAGAGCTGCCTTTGATTCGCAATAACTGGAACATATTCAAAGTTTATCTGCATGATGATCTTGAGGTGGCATTTGACAAAATCCAATGTTTATTGATCATTTCATAAATAGTGACTGTAAGATGTCACTAATTCGAACTGCCTTGCTGTTGAAATGTTGCTATGCAAATAAACTTGCATAGCAATACAGACTTAAAAAAAAGCCTGCATTTTGTTCGATCCTGTATTGGAAATATACTTTGATACATACATTGCTGAAAAAAACCTCACAGATGTATGGATAGTGAGAAGGAAGAGGTCATTCGGCTGAACCAATGGGTTCGACTGGATTTTTTTATTTATTTTTTTTTAATGAAAAGACCCAATTAGGACCGGTTGAGCTGAGAACTGCTCATGCCAGCAATGTAGGAAAGCCCAGCTGCGTTTTATTTAATTTCCCGCGTGCCCTTTAGTTTACAGTTTACGGCCATGGCTGAAACTGCCCTCATTATCGGTGGTCACAGAAGGGAAAGGGTGGGGGGTCCAATGATAGCTAGAGTCCACCTGGACAGATAAACAAAGAGCTCCCCACATACAACGTGTCAGTGTGTGCGTGTGTGTGTGTGTGTGTCGAGGCGTCTCCCGTTGCTAAAAACCACTCACCTGCTTTCCCAGAGAGCCGTGAGCACCAGCAGGCAGAAGACGAGTGAAGACGTGCCCTCCTTGCTCCACATCGCTGCTTCTCCGCCGACAGCCGCTGGGAAGAGCGGGAGCTCCGGGTTACTGAGACCCACAACAATGTAAAGACGAAGCCCTAGTATTTCTGGGGGAATCCCTCTTAGGCGGGCATCACATAAATATATAAATAAATAAACAGAAACGGTGGGGGAGGAAAAAAAAGAGAGGCAAGAGACGGCATCTGACTGTAATTAGTATTCAGTGGCACGTCCCACGCGCTCACTCAGCCAGTTAGCATAAATCCAACATCACATCGCGTCACTCATTACACCGCGTCCCTAATTAGGTCGATAAAAACCCATTACACATATACGGGAAGGAAACGGGAGAAAAACGAGAGACATGGGTGATGTTTGGAGCGTTTCTCCCACGCTCCTTTGCGTTTCCATCGGTGAAATTTTTAAATGCAATTTAACGCATCTAAATGGGAAAAACATGAATAGAGAGGAAGGGAAGGTGGTGGTGGGGTAGGGGGGTGAGGGGGGGAGTGCAGACTCACCTCAAGTGGAAGAAGTACCTGCTGCCGCTGGAAACGTCAAAAGATGAGCAGAAAAGTTAACAGGAATTCACCGCTGTTGTCCTCCGTTCGCGGGAGACTTGTCACAGGAACGCAGCTGGCAGCATTGATAATTCATGGTCCAAGGCAACAAGAGGAATGCTCCTCAGATGATGCTCTGCGTCTCATACTCTACCGAAATTAACCGGAAAAATATAGGCTTTCGATTAATAAATAATATTAAATAAAAAAAATTAAAAAACAGCCTTTTAATGGAGAGCAATTAAGAGAAAAAGAAGGGAGGACGAGCAGGTGCTGGAGCGGGTCCTGGCTTTAAGCTGACCCGTTCAGCTCGGTTCGGTTCGGTTCGGCTCGGCTCGCTCAGCCGCGATGCGAATCGTGATAGGAGAAGAAGCGCATCTCGGTCTCCCCTCATCGCCTCCGAACAACTACAAAGGAGACAACCTGGGTCCTAAAGGCAGCCCGATGAAGCCAATACAGAGGAATGTTGCGCGTCTGAACGCACGCACATGTGATGCCCAACACAGAGGCATGATGGCTGAGCACTCGAGGAGAACTACACACGATTAGACTGTCTTCAGTGTGTTGTGTTGCGTGGGTTTTCAATGGAAACAAAAATCTAAAAATGTGGCCTGCACGTGAATCTAGCTCACGGTGGCACCCCCAGAAAATGAATGTATAAGTTATTATAATTTTATCATACTATCCCCACATGGTGGTGGCACCATCATGCTGTGGGCATGCTCTTTTTGAGCAAGAGAACAGAAGCCAGAGAGAACTGTGCTCTCAGTTCAACTTGTCTGAGTCTGAACTGTTTTGCAAACAAAATATTGGACAAACTTTTAAGATTCTTGACTGCCAAAACTACAAAACTTGCAGTTTTTATGGAGCTAAATTGGGGCCATACCATTTGTTCAAAAGAAAAAACAATTTTAAAATGAGAATTTAAAAAAAGATTTGAAACTGAGACGTAGTTTGGAGTATTTATGTTTCCAGTTTCAAAATGTTTTTTTTTATTTTTTTTTTTATTTTTATTTTTTTACAATGATTACAATAAATAAACAGAGCGGTATATTGCTCATGAACTGAAAAGCTGTGTTTTTGTTACAAATGTGCGTAAAACTTTGTCAACATTCCGCTAATGTCGGAAGAACACAATTTCACAGTTGTGGTGTTAAAATCACCATAACCGCAATTAAAATCACCCATGAATATGTTTAATCACGCAATAAGTCAAAGTCAACCACTTCCTGTCGCCTTCTTCTTTGTGGTTTCTGCCAGTAGCAACATCCTGTGACTCATGATGCAAACAAAATGCTTCCACTGCAATTATGCGGAATAATCCAATGACCAGAAAATCCCTTCATCCTAGAGCCAAAACTTTTTAGCAAAAAATTAGTTTTTTCAAATGTTTCTGTTTAGCAAATTTATTTTCAAAATGTCAAATTGCGCAATTATATGGTGAATGGAAATGCAGCTACTGACATTGAAAGCTAAAACAGTCAAATATAATATTGCCAAGAAAGTATTGATTCGATTGACAGCTTTATTAAAGCTCCAAATATATATTGTTTTTTTTCAAAGTACCCGTGTTTTAGCACCTGTGTGTGTGTGTGTGTGCACGTGTGTGTCCTAGTGTGCGTGTGTTTGCGTGCATGCATGCATGCGTGTGTTTGTAATACTTTATGGGGTCCATTTTCCTGACACTACGGTGTGGGGACCCACTGCTCCTTGTGGGATCGAAGCCTGGTCCCCACAAGGGGAAACGCTGTTTTTGGGTCAAGGGTCAGATTTAGGACCAAGATGTGAATTGAGTTTTGTTTAGGGTTAGGGTCAGGTATGTAATGGTTAGGGTTAGGATAAGGATAAGGTTTAGGCTGTAGAAATGAATGGAAGTCAAAGGAAAGTCCCCACAAAGATAGCCATGCAAACGTGTGTGTGTTTGTGTAGACGTGTGTGTGTGTGTGTGTGTGTGTGTGTGTGTGTGTGTGTGTGTGTGTGTGTGTGTGTGTGTGTGTGTGTGTGTGTGTGTGGGAGACAGAGTGGATGGATGGCCCTCTTGTCACCATGTTGCTAGGCCTGTAAATTGTGATGGAAACAACAACTCTTTTTTTTTTTTTGACACCTATTATAGTTGCAGTGTTTACAGCTCCACCGTGTATTCCTCTGGCTCACCTCTGCTATAAAACACAAAAAACAAACCAGAACAAACAAAAAACAGAACACAAAAGGTCCAATTATCTTTAGAAAATAGTCTTTTACTGATTTTGGTTGTTATTGTTGATTTATGTCATCTCCTTCAGGATTTGGAAGTTCATTATTCAGGAACTTGTGCGTGCCTTCATGCATTCTTTTGACAAATTCCTTCACTTTGCAACGCTTACATAGGAAAGTTTAAGTTAATAATTTAGGGTCTAGTTTTTACAAAACAAACTATGTCATGACATGTAATTTCTTTTACTATAATCAGTTGGGCAAGTGTAAGAAACTATCACACAATTTTTGAAGTGAGGTTCTCTCAAAAGTGTATTAGCAGTCATTATAATAATAGATAATTATATATTGATATCTTTAGTTATGTGAATTCCAGATTAGTTGTACCCAGTAGTTGAAGAAGAAAATGTAGTCAGCCATTTTACAGAAGAGTTATGGATTCAACGTGTTAGAATGACCCACAACCTTTGATGAACTTTACGGTGCTATGAGAGCTCTGCTGGAGCCAGCTGCACATTGTCCAAAAATCAAAAACAAACCATCATCCTCCTACCACTTCCTGTCGTCTTCTTTGTTGTTTCCGCCAGTAGTAACATCAGGGTGGTGATCACAAGACTTGTGTGATGAGAAAAGTGCTTTGATATGGCTGAAATACCACCTCATCCTAGAACAAAAACATTTTACATGTTTTTTTTTTAAATTGGCATGTTTCCATTAAGCAAATTTATCTTCCTAATTCCAATTTGCACAATTATATTGTCACTGGAAATGGAGCTACTGTTAAACAAAGGTACAAATATATTTTTCAAATTAAACCATGTCAAATTATACCAGCTGTTTCTTTGACATACTGATCAGTTTGACATAAAATAGAACTGACAACTTCAAATTTTTAATTTGTATTTTATGGGATAGATCAACCAAAAAGTAGCACATAGGTATGCAGAGGAAGGAAATGAGTGTAATTTCCAGCATTTATATGCAAAAACAAATCTTAAAAGTGGTGTGCACTATTATCCTCCTGCTATTTCCTGTCGTCTTCTTTGTCGTTTTCGCGAGCAGTACCCGGGTGTTGATCACGTGACTTGTGCGATGTGAAAGAGGTGTTTCGATATGTCAGAAAAAGCCGGCAGTATCAAAACAGCTGAGTGGCGATGCTGCCATTTATCAAAATCGAAACAGCTGTATAGATACATGTCGCCGTTTTGATACGTTTCGAAACGTTTCGAAACAACGCATAATCTTTTCATTGAAAAAACATGCATAGTTGCCAAATTTGGCGTGTTGTCTACATTTATGCTCTTATTACCGCTTTACTTTTGTAAAGCCAATTACTGCCAACCCGGTAAAGATAACTCAATGAACCTATTATGCATGTTTTTGGACTTTTGGAGGAAACCAGAGTACCATGGGCCAAACACACAACCTCCAAACAGATTGAAAGACTCCAGCCGAGATTTGACCTGCAGGAACTTGTCTGTGTGAGGCATCAGATGAGAACAGGCCGCCACTCAAGAGTTACTGCCTCCCTTTTGCCATCCGTCAGCTTGTAGGTTGCTCCCTTAATCTCCCCAGCATAAATCCATACCTGTGCGTCAGGCGGTGAGTGATGCAGGTCATCTCAGCAACAGAGGCACTTAGGCAGTTTGTCAAAAGCAAAGCAGGAATCTTATTAAACCGCATGTGCATGCATATTTCCTTTTCCTTTTTACTGCGGCCTCTTCGCCCGTTGGGTTACAGCGGCGCTGCTCGTTGCGAGACGTTGCATCATGCTCAGCGCGTCGACGGCCGTGAGCGCATCTATTTAACTGGTGATGTTTGCTGATTGGATCAATGGAGAGCAACAGGCAAATAAGCTGCATATCTAAATTTGTGATTTTTACATTACCGTTTTTTTGTACCTTGGATTTAGTTGCACACTTTATATGAGTAAGAGTACAATATATAAATAATTTCATCTTTGTTTTGATTCATGAAAGAACAAGTGAGAGCTACTCATCAGTTTGATTTCTGGCATTGACAAAGTTCATTACCTCTCCCTTCCCCCCCGCGCGGCTCTGATTTAATGGACTGGGAACCAGTAAACAGGAAGGATTCCTGGCAGAGAGGTATAAAATTTAGGCTGAGCCAGGGAAAAATTTGACTGCTGAGCTGTGGAGTCGGGGAAAAGAGCAGCTCAACAATGTTGTCATCAAAAACAGCAACATACACAGAGCTGATAGAGACGAAGGTGCGCTGCCTCTATCGGCTGGATTGTTGATTAAACCGGTTTTTGTCGTGATGTCGAAAAAAATAATTTACCCGAAGGCGCTAGTTTACGATTAGCTGAGCTGTAAAGGAGCAGTATTATGTAAAATTAACTTTACATCATGTTTTAATGTTATTCCCTCATTAAAAACATACTTGGAGTGTTGCTTTGATTCTTTCATGCATGTTAGAGAAATCCTTTAATCTCCATGGCAACCATTCAGCTGTTCAAAACGTATAGGGGAACCTAGCTTTGCCTTTGAGGGTGAAGCTCCTCCGCAGATCTGCAGTTTCCCAGCTTCACAGAGCAGCCCTCCTCTGCTCCTTCAGACTAGCCAGCAGCAATTAGCAAATATCTGACGGAACTGAACATCAGCTGAGCTCATAGTAAGAGATACGTCTCAGTAAAACGCTGGTAAAAAAACTTTCTTAAAGGGTTATTAGAGGAACCATGTTGTGATGACTTCCTGAAGGCAGAGTTTCAGAAAGAGCAGGAGCTTCTTAAAGAGACAGGGGCCCAATTTCAAGGAGTTAAATTAAAAAGTCAAACGTTTAATCATATTTCATATATATAGCATTTTTATAACAACTGAAGGCAACATAGTTATATAATTGTGCTACACAGTGTCACTCTGTGGCTGGGAAACACATAATACTGCCCCTTTGAAGCAGAGGTTAGCATGCTAAAAGCCCATGTGGTGAGACATGACTCACTGTAGCTAATGGCACACAGCATCCTCTGTTGGACAAACATGGCAGCGCATCACGCGGACTTGGAGAGAGATGAAACAAGTGGTTGATGCAGCTCAAAAGGAGACCTCTGCAGCCAATGCCGACTCACTCTGATCCCCAACTCACAGCAGCTTGATGCTCCTGCAAAGCAGCAAAGCAGTGACATCCAGTGCATCACCGTTCAAGTGGTTCTGATAAAGCAGCATTTCATAGCACCAGGTGGTTGATCTGTCATGGAGACATTTCAGGAAGAACCCGTGTCCCTCTCTTGTCTGTCATGCACCATGTTAAACAAGGGGCTGTCAGCCTGCGTGTCAGCATGGCTTGATTCACTAGACGTTGCTGAAAAAGACTGAGCCCGTTACCTCGGCAACAAACCATGCCCCGACGGAAAAA